GGAATGCATAAGATAGGCCATGGTTACTGTGCTGCTCCGGCTTATCCCCAGGCTGGAGAACACCAGTACTGCTCCACGATCCAGCTGAGCATCTGAGTAAAGGAGTGCCAATCAGAAATTAGTGATCTGGGAAATCAAGTTTCCAATCGTACAGTCAAGCTCTAATTCAGTGACAGCTGACAGGCTAGCAGTCCACGCGACAGGAACCCTCATGAACCCTGACAGCAGCAGATGGGCACTGCTAGCTCCCGTTTCTGTAACCGTTTGCCTTTCTTAAAAATCCACTGAGTTAAAACATGGCTTTGAAGACCAGAACCAAATGACAATGATGAGTCAATGCTTCATTACAGATCAGTGTCACCTTTACATCGGATAACTGAAGAAAAGTGGTCTACCATGACCAATCAGCTGTGGTCAGCATCACATCAACTCAAACTCTTCCCAGAAAGGTTTAAAGGTATTGAAATCTCTGAAGAACGCAAGCCTAACTGTTCTCCACTCAAGCTGGAAGAATCAGCTCTCAAACTGGAGAGGACTTAGACTTGAAATCCCTTACCCCTCCCTGGGGATCACCACAGGAAGCATGTACATGCCAGCTACAGGGCGCAGGTTTTATGATGCTTTTAGGATGGATACCTCGCAGTGAAAATTGCTAAGATCAGCAAACTCATTTTCTACAAAAGCCAAGCCCATGGATACTGTCAGTCACTCCTAACCACATTGACTCTGCTACCTATGCTTAGAAGGTTGCATATTTTATTAATAACCTTTTGAATTTTTTCCCTCCCTCTCCAGAGCAGACACCATGGCATGTTTTTAGAGTATCAGCAACTGAACTCTAGAGTTCATAGGGCAAACCCTCTTCTTTTATAGTTGTCAAGGGGTTGTGGGGTTTTGTTGGTTTTTTTTTTTTTCCCAAGCACTAAAACAGTGTTTTCTAACTTATTTCTATCATTATATACTAATTCTGTTCTAAGACCTGAGTAGAAATGGCCTCACTCCAACATACACCTGGCATGAGAATATCCACACTCCCCTCAGAATATGTGGAGAGCTTTAGTCTAGTGTTCACCCATAACTGTTCCAGTTTAAGTAAGCTACTCTAGACTGTCAAGTAAACAGTTCAACTACCGTGTAAACAGTACACCCTTCCACAAGAGCTACAGCTAATAAACTCTTACAGTCTGTTTTGGAAACTTCCACAAACTGATGTGAGAAAGAAACTTTCTTCTGAAACACTACTGGGAAAAAAACTGGGGCAAAATGAAAGGCAAGTAAGTGGATTTTGATATTTTGGGTTTCTATGCATGCAAATCATGAAATTCAATTCCGGACTACAAAATTATATCCTCAAATATCGTTTCCTTGTTTCTTTGTTTGTGTTCAGTTGTCATTTCTTAAATGTTACTTGGATTATAAGGCTTGTGAGGGCAGGGTGATCTTTTGCTTCTGGATCTGTACAACACTCAGCTCAGCAGGGCCTTGGTCTGTAGCAGGTGTTATTTCACAAGTGGAATTAAAGATAACGACACGGTTGGACACCATCACAGGATGGAGCTGCAGGAGCTATGTCTGCTGTGCTGCTGCAGGCGCTGAGCTGGAGAGTATGTTTTTTCTTGCCCTCTCTGATGTAATGAGCTGAAGGCAGGTTTATGCTGTCCAACCTGAACGTCTTCTTAGGCCCTATGGTGGGTCTGCACTGCAAATCACAAAGATAAGCAGGGTCTTGTGGTAAATTCTCTAACGTGTGTCACAGTCTTGTTCAAATAAAGCTCTGGTGGTTGAAGATTTGGGCTGGTAAGAGTCAAAGGGTTCTGTTTAAGAGCAAAAGAACAAGAAGGAATCCTATGAAGCCCTGGTAGACATCCTGCAGCAAAGCCTTTTCAGATCAGGTGGAAAACTCACTATTATCAGAAAGTGAGGTATTCTTTAAAGTGAGTAGGAACATCAGAGTGAGATGCCCTGTAAAATCTCCTCTCTGTCCACCAGGATGGTTAGTAAGGCAGCTCAGGTATCCATTAGGGTGTGGGCTGGCTTGGGAGTATGCTGATCTTGAAAGATTACGACCCTCCTGTCTGACCTTCCTGTTGGAGTGAATTGCAGTCACTCCCATCTAATATCCTAGAGTTAGCAAGGTCTCAGGAATTCCAGATCAGGAACAACTCACCTATGAAATGACAAACGGTGGCAAAGGAAGAAAAAAGATCTGCTTCGAGCGAATCTGGGACAGATATATGGAGGCATTTGCTGCCTTCTGCAAATCTGGAAAAAAAGCACACAGTGTGACATGGACCAGAGAAGCAGCTTCAAAAAAATGTGTTTGTTGGAGGCAAGCTGGTAATTTTGTTTGCTGTTACATGTGTGAGTTTTCATCATTGCCATCATTAACATTATGATAAGGGATTTGTTATGGTAAGAGACTGAGGTGGTTGTAATACACAGACAGTTTAATTACTGATTTTCCGTTACACGTGGTATTGGCGTTGATGTCAAGGGCCCCCAGTCCTCCTCTCACCCAGTCCACCCAAGTCATGGCAGAGGGCTGCAGGACTGCATTGCTGCTGTGCTAACTCTGGAGTAGAGATCAGAAAAATGAGCATGAAATAGCACTCAAATTGGCAGAGTTTTCCTCCAAACAGAGGTTTCCTTGAAAGTTCACAGGCACTGACTCCTCTGTGAATGGGCTTTGGTGCTGTGCCACCTCACTTTTTCCACAGGCACAAACCTTGGTGAGGGTAAACCTTGAACTATTTAACTTACAGTGTGGCAGGCTGTTCAGAGATATTGACTTGTGCTTTGATCTTCAAATCTTTCTGAATTTGTTGGTCACAGGCCTGCTTGAAATTGCCCATATATAACTTTGCAGGCAGTATTTCTACAGGGTATAGCTGGAAGTTGTCTAGTTCCTGCCGGAGAGAAACCATAGGCTCAGTTTAGAGTGTATTTGCTCCCATTAGCTTGGTAAGTTCTTAAACAGAAGTCATGTGAAGAATTGAACACATACTTAGTCAACAGCCCATGACACATTCTAGTGTAATGATTCATTCAATCACCTGAACTTTCTGTATATTGAAGTCTTTGCTACATTTAGGGAGAATAATCAACATCATTGCTGTCATTGTGGCATTACCTGAAACAAATCCTAACTCAACAGGAGGTGGCATATATTCTTTACATTGTCCGGAGGGACTTCAGCATAAGAGATTTGATGTTCTCCCCAGTTACTGTTTGCAAGGCTAAATGAAATCATCTGCCACCTGCAGAGCTGCAGGTGCCCGGTAGTGGCACAACACGAGTCTGCAGCTGCTTCTGGTGTCTGCAGTGTGAGGGCTGAGAACAAAAATACACAAGTAGCCGACAGTGCCGCTACATCCCTCACCGATATTCAGCTAATGCTACAGCAGAACAAACCAGCAGCCTAACAATTTAAAGCAACAGAGAGCAACAGCTTAAATTGGGAGGCAAGGAGGTACTCTGTGTCCAGCTGAACCTGGTGGGGAAGTTCAGCAGTTTGCTACCCTTCACAAAGAAGCACAAAGTGAATTGATTTTCTCAAAGTGAATCGATTGACTCTACTGCGCTGTAGCATCCCACAGGTTAGCACCATGTTACGGGCTATTTCATGTGAACCAGAAGTGAACAGGAACAATGGAAACGAAAGGCATGTTGCAATGAGATGGTCTCTGCTGTCCAGTGCCTTCTAAATCTGCCCTGCCTCAGGTCCTGTCCTAGATGTGAAAAAAGGGTAATATTTCTCATAAATTAAATAAATCAATGATTGAAGGTGAAACCAAAGAATTAGGACACCAGTGTTGCAGTGCATGGCTGTTTTCTCTCTGGGCCTGTTGAAAGAATGCAGCAGCATTTGTATTGTGAGCCTTCCCGATGAAAAGCTTTACAGACATGGAACACAACGCTTGATAGGAATTGTACTTCTGTCTGAAAACATTTACTGTGTAACATCCCAGATAACCACCTGTCAGAGAGGAACTTGCCTCTTTTCAGCATTTGCTACTGTTTGTTTAGTTATCTGTATTCTCCAGTAGGCCAGTTTCAGGGTTATCAGAGAAACCTTCCCAGTTTGTTTTCAGGAGCTTTCTTTCACGCAATAGAAGAAGGATAAAAAATGCAAAGTGTGGCTGTAAAAGAATTAGTGGTGAGACACAGGGCAAGCACAGTAACTCAAATTACATTTAATTCCTTTGTTTGAAATTACTCTGATAGCAGGTTTACACCACCATTTAACTGGAACTCATTAGCCATCATCAGTTGAATATGAATGCTAATGTCTTCTACTTGCAAATTAGTGTCACCTCACCTGAGGCATCCACAATATCTTTTGAGTCCTCAGAAAGTGATAGCAAGCTGAAAAACGCTTGTATCCTCCCCTCAGGATGAGCACGGGATGGCGGGTGAACTGCTCTAAGCTTCTGGCATACTGGACAGCAGTTCCTTCCTCAGCATCTAAAGAGATCAAAAAGCTATTTGCCATGGCAGGTTTAGAGTGCCTCTATCAGCACTGGGAGTTACATCTGGCCCACTGACACCTGCAGCAAACTCCTTTTCGTTTCATCTAATGGTCTGCAGAAAGCCTTGTTAAAAGCCAGACTTACTCTTTAACTGTTGCTGCAGGTCAGTAACAAGGCACACTGCTTTTCATCTCTTGTCCTGATCTTTTATTCTTCTCCTCGTTTCTTTTGTAGGTCTAGATAAAGGATTTTTTTTCCCCTACCCATTATTCTTCAGGAAATGCTTGTAATAAGTTCCCATAATAGGGAAGTATTATTAATTTAAACTTAATAATCTTAGTTTTATGGAGGCCTTTTTCTTTAGTCTGCTTTAGGCAAAGGGGGAAGTATCTTGAATAAATTCTTCACAAGTGTTTTAAACACTCCCCTCAGTGAAGCAAATTATGTGAGATGGCTGCTCCCCCTCCTTCTTCCAAGGGATCCATCCCGCCCGCCTCTAGCTATATCTACTTTGGAAAGAGATCAGCACAATAGAAACCCGCTTCTGATTCTTCACACCTTCCGTTGCTAGTATCTCACCACTGAGCATTTACGAACAGGCTTGCTTTATTCATTCTCCTTACACTCCCAGATTTTTTCCTTAAAAAAATGATGTAAATCTTTGCTAAAGCTATAGTAGCCTTTATAAAGCTAATAGGAGCCAAATAAACACACAGAAGTGGTTCTGCACTCAGCAGAACTCCTTGCCAAAGGATGTGTGAAATCTAAACACTTCCATGGTTCAAGGAAGACTGAACAATTACACGGAAAAGTTTCCAGCTCTTCACATTTCTCAGTGAACTCCATCAAATCACCACCCCCCTTAAAACTAAGTCTTTTAAAAGATGATAATGTGAAAGCCTTTTATAACCCTCAAAGAAGGAAGTACTCACTCTGTGAACATACAGAACTTGAGTCACTGTTTTCAGTCTCTGAAGAAGCACTGCTCCCTAAAAGGCAATTGTTGAACAAGCCCAATCTGAGTGCAATGTGAAAAAAAAAAAAATCTATTCCTTACACATGGCAAGGAACTTCAGAAGGATCAGGCCAGAGATAGGAAACCAGGCCCGCGAGGATGCTTTGAAAGAAAAGCTGTATGTTTGAAGCCTAAGAACATAAGCAACCCAGAGAAAAAACAGAAGCGTAGCACAGATGTTTGTTTTTCAAATAAAACTGGGTAAATTTGCCTCTATTCCAATACGGTCAGAAAATTAAATGAGGATTGGGAAGAATATCTATCCTGCAGTGAGGTGTTGACTGACATGGGTCACAAGTACCTTTTTCTTTTTCCTCTTCCTCGTAGTCACAGCAGTCCAAAGAGCTGGTCTCACAGTCATACACCACACAGTATCTGACACACCCCAACTCCTCGGAATCTGGTACCAGAAACTCCCCCGTAGGACTCTAGCAAAATTACAAAGGAATTCTATCAGGAGCACAGCTCCACACTTTTCTTGTGGCATCAATGCTACCAACATCTTGCAAGTTACTACTCTATAGCTACAGGATGGGTTTGGGGCTCTGTCTGTACTTGATGCTGAAAGACACGGTTAGAATTCAGAAATGATGCAAAACTACGCCGGATTGCTTCATGAGCCGCAGTGGTAAAGATGCCAGCACTGTCCTTCATGAGACAAGTCTACAATATGTTAGTTCTTGTGCAATATTTTTCCTGATATACATCTCCTGTGTGCCAATCCTTCAGGCTACCGAGGCCACCTTTGCTTTGTGACAGAATACACCCCCCGGTGGCAGAAATGGAACACGGCTGCAACAGGCAGGGGAGAGGCTGGGACAATTTCCGGGGCTTTTAAGCCAATTTTGGCTTACTGCTAATTGCTAAATCCAGGGATGGTTTACACAAATGGTAATCCTCTCACCTGTTCAATCCTGCGTGCTGTAATAATATGGCTCTCATTGTATTCACGCTGAGTACGGGCATCTGAAAAAACAACCAAGGATGAACAATTGGTTTAGCTGATGCTTTTAAGATAGAATCCTGTTCCTAATTCCGTCAGTGGGAATTCAGGCACCAACATCAGCCAGAGAAAGAGATTTGGTTTCTTAGAAACTGAGACTTTCAGATGTGGGTATAATGAACGCCAGTGCTGGTGTGAGACTCTGTATAACAACAAGTGATGCCAGCAGCTTTAGTCTTGACCCAAGCGTGGTACCACAGTGTTCACAGCGCCGGTCCTGTGCTCTGTTGTGCTCTGCACTGTGGCATAGCCTGGCCTCTGCTCCCTGGGCCTGCTCTGACCTCCCAACATCCAGCATCTCTGCCTCTGTACTGCCACAGAGATGGGGAGAGGGGCACCGGAGAGACCCCAACCCCACTCCCAAACTGGCTGACTCCCTCGCCAAAACATTTAACAATATCGCAGTATCTGGCACCCTTTTTTTAATGTATTGCCACTATGCAAGATGCAAATGCTTGCGCAATGCTCAAGAAATCTTGTCCACCTCTAAACCCTCTGGGAGCAGCAGGGGAGAGCATGTATCCCTGGGATAGACTGGAGCCAGGAAGAGCTGGAGGTGACGAAAGCCAGAGCAGCACCGGCTCACGGCACCTGAACCGGGATGGCAGAAACGCCCCAACCGCAAGGACC